CTTATTGGCTAACTCTTACATATTAATTTAACCCATATCTGTTAATTTGTGTATCACCATGAGGGTGTGGCTTACCAGGTAAAGTTCTAGCATCTGTCTCCAGTGGGGCTACATGGCTTCTCTCTCACTCCACCTTCTTTTTCCTAGCCTTAAGTTTAGTTTCCCCCACCTAACTCTGATCTACACTATCACAGGCCCCAGACAGCTTCTTTATTAACCAATGGTATTCACAGCATACAGAGGGGAATCCCACATTTAAACAATGCCTGGTACTGAAAGACTAGTCACCTTCGCTACCCAGGGCAAATGAAGTCATAGATCTTCAAGGAGTATGACAACCACCACTAAATTAGGACAATCCCTAACTATATTCTAAATGTTTTTCCTTATACTCACAGATAAATGTAGTTCTCTCTTTAACAAGAAAACTTCTCTTTGCAATAGGTGGAGATCATTACAGAAAGCCACAACCAATCAAAATACAAAGTTATGGAGCCTAGATCTAATGGATCCATATATAGTATAAGTCCTGCCCATAAGGCTCAGGGATCATTGCAGAACATGGGATAGAATGATTATTAAGAGCCAGAGAAACAAGGAACTTGTTGTGAGTGGGATTTTTAGGAATATTAGAAGCTACAATGATGCGGGATTCCATTCTGCATGCTATATGTTTTATTGCCTTTGCTTATTAAAAACTCTGCTTTTAGTCAATGGCTTAACAGAATATAGCCAGGCTGGAATATATATANAGGGAATGAACTAGTGACCTCCACCAACACTACACTCATGAAATCTTACCAACATGACTGCCTAAATATGGCTGAACAAGGACAACAGCAATAGACATGGTAATGCTAAGCTCAGGAGGTCACAGCCCTACACAAAGAGCTAAGGAATGCTGAGAGTAGGAGAAATAGTTTTTTCAGGAAGAGCACAGAAATTGGTTATCTAATACCAAATGATTAGTCCTAAAAATATACATATGAGTAACATTATACAGACTGAACAGGTTATGTTTAAGTATTTAGGAATATATTTGTATATACATATAAGTATATAGCAATAATTATGAAAGAAGAGGCCAGGAATTTGAGAGAGAGAGAAAGGAGGGGGTAAGTAGGAGGGTTTGAAGGGACAAAAGGGAAGGGGGAATGATTTAACTGTTCTGTAATTTTAAAAACTAAAATAAAAGTGAAATAAAAACAAACAATGGTTTGAAAAGGAGGAGGTGCTAGTGATGTCATCTGTTGGGCATTCCTGATCTTGGACAGTGTGGTGCTCTTTTACCCACAGGATACTCAGAGTTGTAACAGATAACATGGCTATGGTTCAGGAGTGCTGGCAGAAGATGGCATTGCTGTGTCTCAGAAGTGCTTGCTTTCCACTGAGTGCTGAAGATGTCAAATACTTTTCCCAAGAGGCAGAAATTTGTTCATGTTCTGATTTTGACTCACAGGTTTGGCAGTTTTCCATCTCTATGGCTAAGATGCTCCAGGTGAGTGACTTAAAAGAGGAAAGGAATATCTTGGCATATGATTTCAAGGAGATAAATCCCTTGATGCTTTTTACTACAATACATCATGGTGAGAAGCTTTTGGGAGAGGGAGGCTTTTGCCTCATGGAAACAAGAAAACAGAAAGATGGAGAGGAAACAGCTGAGTCCTCGTATCTCTATTAAGAGTTCCCTCTTATAACCACTGAGTCATCTCTCCAGCCCCTTATTACTTTTTTGTTTGTTTGATTGTTTTGAGAGAAGGTTTCTCTGTTGCTTTGATGCCTGTCCTGAAACTAGCTCTTGTAGACCAGGCTGGCCTTGAACTCACAGAGATCCACCTGCCTCTGTCTCCTGAGTGCTAGGATTAAAGGTGTGCACCACCACCACTCGGCCAAGGGCTCCCTATAATCCTGCAATGACCTAATTGATTCATATCCAGTGGGTCCCATATTCTTAGAAGACACAAGTATAGTGCCACGGGTCCATGATTTAGGTCATGATTTTGGAAAAGTCAGGGAGGCAGGAACTTGAAGAAACTGGTCACACTTGGCAGTCCAGAACAGAGAGAAGTACAAAATATAAATGCTTTGTCCATCTATACATCTGTGGAGAATATATATACTCTAGGACCCAATCACAGGGAAAATGGTATCAACAATATTTAGGCTGGATCTTCCCACATTAATTAACATAACCAAGATACCTTCCTCCCTACAGATACACCCAAAGGCCAACCAGATCTAGGTAATCTCTTTTGGAGACTCTCTTCCAAGGTGATTGTAGATTGTGTCAAGTTGACAGCTAAAACTGACCGTCTCATTCACAAAATGTACTTGTTAGCCTTGGTGGATTAGAGAATTGCTATCTGCACTCAGAAGGTAAAGACATTGAACTTGAGGCTGGAATGCCTTTCTAGCTACAGAACTGGAGGAAAAGTGCGTTTTATTTTTTTTTTGGTGGTTCGTTTGCTGCCTCTAGAAATTATTAACAATACAAAATATTGAAAGTAGCTTTGTTCTAAAAGAGGCTTCTGCCTCCTGATTTTTTAAAGTCTACTTAGGTCTTCACATTTATATGCCTTTAATCTAGCGGACTTGGATCTTGGAAGTAGCATGAGATTGCAAAGTAATGAGCCATGGTGGTAGCCCGAAAAGATTTACCTATCTCATAAAAGTGCTTCCATTACAATGTGAATTTTGAGTGAGGGAAACTGTCTTTGTAATTTTGCTGTCTATTACTAGCACACGATTTAGGATACAGGCTTTTTAAAGAGTGCCTGATTTTTAAATCTCACAGCAGCAGTAGCAGCCTGCCTTGCCCATTATTTTGTGTCCATGATTCAGAATATGTACTGATATGGTGAACTGGATGACCCTTGGTTTAACGCTGAGGTTGACTTCAGAAGGCATGGTATAGCAGGATTTCCAGAAAGCATCTGAGTTTCGGTTGCAGTTGAAAAGTGTAAATTTCAAAACAGGACACAGGGGACCAGAGAGACAATGGCTCAGTAGGTCAAAGTGCTTTCCAAACAAGCCAGATAACCTGAGGTCCATCCCCAGAGCCCACTTAGTGGAAGGAAAGAACACATTTCTGAAAGCAGTCCCCCTATCTCCACAAGAAAGATGTGGCACTCACACACACCACACACAGAGGCTCAGATTTGGAGTAGTCTGCATGGCTTCTTTTCTCTTTATAAAGTTCTCAAATATAAAAGTATTAATAATTACCAAATTGTATTGACTACCAAATATTGTAAATAAATTAATAATATTTTTATTCCATTGGGTCCAAAGGCTGTGTTCAAGTTTATAAAATGCTTTAAAATGTAAAATGCTGACAATTATTTAAGGGTATTTATTTTGGTTATTTGATATGATCTTTTGCCCAACATAAAAACAATCTTTCTCGAACAACAAAACAAAACAAAACCAAAACAAAACAAAAAAAAAACAATCGTTCATTATTACACTAAAACATTGCTTGGGTGTATGTGTGTGGTATGTGTTTGTGCACACGTGCTTGTGGTTGTACTTGCTTGTGGATGAATATGTGTGTACAGGTTAATGTTGGTTGTCTTCTACTACTTCTTCAGCTCATTTATTTTGGGATAGGTTCTCTCACTGAACCCAGAGCTCACCATTTCACCTAAACTCATGGACCAGAAATCCTTTGGTGATGTGGGAGTGTCATATATCAATCTGTTGATTTCATTGGTTAAGCAATAAAGAAACTGCTTGTCCCTGATAGGTTAAAACATAGGTGGGAGGAGTAAACAGAACAGAATGCTGGGAGAAAAAACTGAGTCAAGGAGTCGCCATGATTCTCCCACTCTAGACAGACACAGGTTAAGATCTTTCCTGGTAAGCCAGCTCGTGGGCTACACAGATTATTAGAAATGGGTTAGTTCAATATGTAAGAGCTAGCCAATAAGAAGCTGGAACTAATGGGCCAGGCAGTGTTTAAAAGAATACAGTTTCCATGTGATTATTTCGGGTAAAGCTAGCCGTGCGGGTGGCTGGGTGCCAGGAACGCATCCCCGCCGCTCATACTACAACACTTGGGGATCAGCTTGCCTTTACTCCTCAGTGATAGGGTTACAGATGTGCTTCTGTAGTTCCTGGCTTTTGTGTGGGTGCTTGGGGTTCCATCTTAGGTTCTCATGTTTTCACTGCGAGCATTTTATCCACAGAGCCAGCTTCCTAGTTCCACATGAAGGTGTTTCCATGGCAAAATATTATAATGGGAATATCAATCAATTTTTACTCAAAATCACAATTTCACCTAATGTTATTAAGGCTTCTGAGCCTCTTAAACTAATTTCTGGATATCTCCTAGGTTATCACATTAAATGCAATGTAGTCATCTTGGGATATGGAGGAAATATGTCAATAATATTGACCTTAGTGTATTTGGGGTCAGTGTCACTGGCTTAAATATCCATCCCTGACTTTAGTGGTGAAGGTGCACCTGAGAGAATATTAAGCAAGTATTCTTTTGAGATGTTTATGAATAATAGCATTGTTCAGAGCCGATTTGATGCAAAGGCCCACTCTCCTTCCCCACTTACATTAAATTCTGTCTCTAAGTATTGCTTTTTGGTGCTTGGTTATCCGTTTATTCCCTGAGTGAGAGAGAACAAAATTACTATGGGAATAAATTGAGAATTTAGTGCCACTTAAGTCAGATTTTTATAAGCCATATCCTACATGATTTTAGTATACATTGTTAGTGATACACAAATTTGTATCTCTTAACAGGGATTGGTGAAGGCATTCAGTAAGTCCCATATGAGGCATGACTGAAATGTTTCTAGAGTAAAATAGCCATTTTACAGTCATAATGATGTAGGTATTTTTTCCATCTAATATTGGACATTTTCATACATGTATACAATACACCTCAATGTTCTGTCTTATTGCCTTCCCACTCCAATAGACATCTTACTTTTTCCTGTCTGCATGCTTTCTACTTTCAACCCTTATTTTTTCCCCCAATGTGAATCCTTTTAGTGACACACTTATGAAGGGAACATTGTTTGTGAAGCCACCCATGGAGCACTCTAAACTTCACTGAGGACTCATATATAGTAAGTCCTCATGCAGCCAACTTCTCCTGGGCAGTTTTTACTTTCTAATGTCTATAATTTAGAAGTCTTAGTTCACTGTAAACATGCCCATGCCACGTTTGGGAACCATGTCAAACAGTAGCATCTCAGGTCTTCACGTGCATCTCTTTTTTAGGCAGTGATGAGTACTAGAGATTCATCACATAAACAAACACATATAAAGTGATTTTTTAAAAAACATTTTCTTCTACATATGTGGAAATTATGCAATGTAGTTGTAGATTTTGAGCCTCCTAGTGTTGCTTGAGGGTGGAAGTTCAGTTCACATTTGGGAAAAAATGTAACAACAGAGAATTTATTCCCTCACCTGTAAGAGGAATTTTGTTTCCCTGGTCCATCAAGGTACTGTCTGTTATCTTCCTGGGAGCCACCTTAGTAGAAGATTCATTTTGAATTCTGAAATGTTAGATAAAAATGTGAGGATGAATGTCAGAAAGGTCAATAACCTTGAAGGAAAGTAGGAAGAAAAGTGATTCTCTGATGTGGGATGTCCTTCTGTATATGTGTTGCTTTTATTGGCTAATGAATAAAGCTTCTTTGGCCTATGGCAGGGAAGAATAGAGCCAGGTTGTATGAACTGGACATGCAGGACCCACAAAAAAGTGACTGCTGAACATTCTAAAATACAGGATGGTCTTTCAAGGTTCCTGCTTCACAGAAGAAACTGCCAGACATTCTGCAGGATACAGAAAAAAGTAACTGACAAACTGCCAAGGTAGGTGATATAGCCTTTCAAGTTTCCTGCTTTATGGAAAAGTCTGCCAGATAACTATGGGCCTTTAGGCTGAAGGTGAATGCCCCAATGTTACAGAAGAATTTTGGATGACTTTCCAGGTAGTGATATGTCTCTGTCAATTCTAAGGTTTTAGAAATTGCTTGCAATGCACTTCCTGTTTACTTAGGTGATATTATATCCTTCTGGTATCTTTGAGGAGTTAAGACAGATAGTCATAGTTTTTCTTGGTTGTGATAAAAGATAGATTAGATATAAACATTTTTAACTGTAATTTTTGCTTGATACCTATTTTGTCATATATAATTTTACTATGTTAAAGTTAAAAGCCTTCCTTTTTAATTTAGACAGAAAAGGGTAGATGATGTGAGATGTCCTTCTGCATATGTGTGGCTTTTATTGGCTAATGAGTAAAGCTGCTTTGACCTATTACAGGGCATGATGTGGGGTTCCCCTCTGTATTCTCTAAATATGTTTTATTGCGATTGGTTAATAAAGAAGCTGCTTTGGCCAATGGCTTAATAGAATATATACAGAAATAATAGAATATATACATGTGAAATCATGTAGCTGCCAGAGGAAAAAGATGTGAGCTGCTAGCCAGAACCTTGCTGATAGATCATTAGCCATGTGACAAAATATAAAATAATAGGAATGTGTTAATTTAAGATGTAAGATATTGCTAGGAATATGCTAGAGTCATTTCCCAACTAGTGTTGTAATTAATACAGTTTCTGTGTGAATATTTTGGGTTAGGGCAGCTGGGAAAGAAAGAGTCACCTTTGAATACAGAATGGTGTGCCAACATGGGGCTGATTACACCTACATAAAACCTGAGAAAACTTGGAAAGGAATTCTAGACACAAAAGAACAGAGTTAAACATGGCTTATTGGTACCCAGCCTTTTTTTTTTTTTTTTTTGAATGGACTCTGTTTGATGATTGCCATCAGGAGCACCATGGCTCCTTTAAGAACGCTTACTGACTCAGCATAAGAAATGGTGGCTTCCTGGTTCTTGCTGCCAACATGAATTCTGGCCCTTTAAGAAGGCCGAGAATTTAAATGGGGTCTGTGAGCAGTGTGTTACAAATTGCTTAATGGTGACATAAACCCACTGCAACCCTGGAGCTGGGGTAGGGTGCATTGTTATGGGAGGCTGCTTGTTCATTTCCCAGTCACCTGGCAGCTCAGACCTGAAATAATCACACAGAAGCTATATTATTTAAAGCACTGTTTAACCCATTAGCTCTAGCTTCTTATTGGCTAACACTTATATCTTAATTTAACTCATCTCCATTAATCTGTACATCACTACAAGGTTGTAGCCTACTAGCAAAGTTTTAGAACATCTGTTTCCAACAGTGGCTCCATGGCTTCTTTTCTGACTCTACCTCCTTTCTCCCAGCATTCAGTTTAGTTTTACCTGCCTACCTCTATTCCCTGTGGCCCAAAACAGTTTCTTTATAAACCAATGGTATTCACAGCATACAGAGGGGAATCCCACATCAGTGCATGGCTCTCAGAAGAAGTGAACATGCTTCTGCCATGTTGGTCTGGGCTGAGCCAACAAGCAGGACCAGGGAGTTGGTTCTAGCCATGTCCACTTAGCATTAAAAAAAGAAAAAAAAACACTCCTGGTCAGAAAATAATTATAGATATTCAATAAAGACAAATTCATACAGATATAATCCTCTGAACAAGTCACAATGTGTTTAAAAGATTTACATAGGCTTGAGAGAGAGAAGAAAAAGTATAGAAAAATAAAACAAACTCTTTAAAGATATGGAGTACAGATGGTCATAGAATAGAGGAGTAAAGAAGAATAAGCCATGAAAAGATGGAATATAAACAGAGAATCTAAATCATGTATATTATTGTGTTTTCTTTGAACTTTTTGACTATGAATGAGTTAAGTACAAAGAGATGTTTCATTGTATGGGCTGCTAAGCTATACCAACATATATATTTTAAAGGTATTTTGACTTCAAAATTTGGGTCTAAGGATATGTTGCTTTGGAAAGGAGGTTCTACTTTTGTTTGCACAAAGCATAAGAACCTGTGGATTCCTTCCAGACTAGTGTGGTTTGATCAAACAAGACCCTTTGAAAATGGCCCAGATGGTCCAAAATTCATGATAACTTCAGGACTGCTGGCTGAGGTGGACTTATCACACAGGATACTTCAAAAAATGTTCTGATTAGCAGATCAATCAGTAGAAAGTAGTTTAGAGAACTATGCACAAATTCCCAAATATTGTTTATAAATGTTTCTTTACATTTAAAGGGGGACATACTATATGAATCTTGGTTTACTGATACAAATTTAAAGCCAATTTTGTTATATGTATATTTCTGCTCTTGATTAAGGTATTGTGTTTGTGCAGCTCATTTAAAATGTAATGCATAGTTNCGCTGTGGCCTACCAGTAAGTTTCCAGTATCTGTCTCCTTCAGCAGCTACATGATGTCTCCTTGACTCCACCTATTCTCTCTCTCTACATCTCTGCTTGGATTTACCTTTTGGTTTTACCCTGCTAAGCCAATGGCCAAAAAAACGTTATTCAACAGGCAATACAAGCAACACATATACAGAAGGACATCCCACATCAAAGAACAATGACAACAAAAACAAAAAAAAACAATATCTTACTATTTATAGAAACATGGAATTGAAATAAAAATAACAATAATTATCATACAATGTGATGGAATTTTCATGTCTGCCCGTGGTTTCCATTATTTCAAGGAAAGAATTTTTCTTTCCATATTTCAAGTCACTTACACTTTTACTTTTAGTTAGTGTTTCTATTGCTGTGATAAGACACCATGACTTCAGCAACACTTATAAAAATTCAATTAACTGGGGTGATTTGCTTAGAGTTCAGAAGTTCAGACCATTTTCGTCATGATGGGGACATGGCAGCGTGTAGGTAGATATAGTTCTGGAGAACTAGCTGCTACTTGTTTATATATAGGTAGCAGGAATTAACTGTGAAACTAGGAATAGTTTGAGCATAGGAGAACTCAAATCCAACCCCCACAATGACACACTTTCTCTAACAAGACCATACCTATACCTATAAGACCATATCTCTAATAGTTCCACTTCTTTTGGGGGCCTTTTTTCAAGCACCACATTCCACTCCATGGATCCCAAAGGCTTATGGCTATATCAAAATGGAAAGATACATTCGGTCCAATTTAAAAAGTCTCCATAGTCTATAGCAGTATCAAATTTGTTTAAAAGTCTAAAGTTTAAAGTCTTTCCTGAGATTCATGCAACCTCTTAACTTAGACTTTTAAACACATGCTTCCAACATATAGTGATAAAGACATACATTACCACTCAAAAATGTAGGAAAGGGAACATAATGAGGAAATACTGTATCACAGTAAGACTGAAAACCTGCTGAGGAAACTCCAAACTCTGAATCTTTGGTGTCAAAGTGTTCTTCAGATTTTTAACTCTGTTTAGATTTTTGGCTGCAACATATTCTTTCCTTTAAGCTGGTTCTACTACTTACTTGTTAGTGACATTCCTTGGCAGATAGCCAAAAAAAATCTGGAATCACTAACATCTTGGGGGGTCCAAGGCAATAAGACTTCATTCAATTTCAAAACTTCACAAAATTTTCCATCCAGTCCTCCATTCAAGGACACCGTTGACACACTTGCCTAGCTTTCTTTAGGAGCAGAGACAAATTCCATAGACCATTTCTTCTATCCTTAACTCTAAAGTCAGGACCATGTTCCCAAAGCTGCCAAGTTCTGCTATTTGCTGGAACTGGAATATGGTCCCCTCATTCAATTACATCTTCATCAGCATTCTGTTTTTGATGATTACCTTTATTGCCAGAGTTTGGCTATCCTTGAATTTACTCTGTAGTCCAGACTGTACTTAAATTCAGAAATTTACCAACTTCTGCCTTCAAAGTACTGGAATTAAGGGTGTGCACTACCACATGTGGCTCTAAGCTTTTCTTGAATCCCTTTTCCTAAATTGGAAATTTAGCTGGGTGGGATCTTGCCTTGAGGTCACCACTCCCTTTATTCTATGTCTTAATTTTTTTATCTCCTTGAACATAGGATTTAGCTATACCATTTCCTGATTCCCTTTTTCTCAGTCTGTACACTTTATCTTTTTTATTTGCTCAGGTTGCTATTTTTAATTATAAATCTTCAACAGTTTTTACACTATTAACCATATAGAGTTTATAGTGGGTTGTTTTGAGATTTCTTCTGCAGGCAGAATTTATCCAAAACTCATCACTTAGCCTCAGAGGAACTCTTTGAACAAGGTCAAAAAGCAGCCCCTTTCAACACCAAAGTATCACAAAAATGATCTCTAGGCAACCTACTTAAATTCTTTTTTGTAACCTCTTGAGCAAGCCACTACAGTTCATCAAATTACATCCAATGCCATTGTCTTCCTTGTTCCTACAAGTACTGCCCATTAAGCAGTGGTTGAAGCATTCCACTGCTTCCCTACCCAAAGTACCATTTCCTCTAAACAAAAACATGGTCTGGTCTATCACAGCACTATGCTAGTCACTAGTTTCAATTTCAGTCTTAGGGTTCCAATTTGCTGTGAAGAGTTACCATGACTACAGCAACACTTACAAAGCAAAATATTTGATTGAGGTGACTTACTTATAGTTCAAAAATACAGTCCATTATCATCATGGTGGACATGGTGGCAGGCAGGAGGACATGGTGCTGACAAGGTAGTTGCTAAATGTTGAGATATAAGTAACAGAAAGTAGACTGTGGCACTAGTAATAGCTTGAGCATAGGAGGACTCAAAGTCCACCCCCACAGAAACAATTCCTTCAAACAATGTCACACCTTCTGATATTGCTACTTTGGGGGCCATTTTCTTCAAACCACCATACTACTCATATACAATTATAACTCACAAATATTTATATTCCCCAGAGGTAATTCTACCATATAATATATTTTATTGTCTACTAGGCTACTATAA